CGAATATCTTTACGCATTCCTCGACCACACGACGTAAGCTTGATTCATTTTCACATCTCACTTTTTCTCATCTCGTCGTAAAGAATAGTTCGTCCCAAATTGGTCGTTAGGCTTGATCGTAGATAAAAGGTAGCGCATGGGAGAGGGGAACCTAGGGGCCACCTTTTATAGACGTATATATAGGGGGGAAATGGTCAGCACTTGCGGTTCCTTTAATAGTCGCTATAGCGACACGGTTGAATAGTTACTAAAACGTCGCGCTCGACAATCGATTGGGATTGTATGTGCGCCACGCGCGTTCATATAGTCACACGCTCGTCGAAAATATTACTTCACTCTGCGAGTGTTCCGACGCGCGCGTCTCGTTTCGCAATCGCCTATGCCGCGGACTATAGTTATTCAGTCTGGAATTACATCGCCGCTTGGTATCGAGGTATCATATAGTCGTATGTGTATACAGGGTGTCTGGATTTAGATATCGAGCCGCTTGTGTATAGGTAGTACAGGTTAAATAGAATAATCCTCTACCAATTTGCAAACAGCCATGACAATTTTAAGAAAATTGACCAATCAATGCACACAAAGCGGTGGGACGAACTCTGGGCAGTCTGAGGAAACGTGTTTTGAGCTTATTAACTGTTTCTCCTGCTGTTTCTTTACTCCTAAGAAGTAATAAATGCAGTCATCCTGTATACTTGAATCAGAGTAAAGTTCCGATTATTGTCATTTAACGTTTCCTTTGAATTGCATCTTATACCTGTTATAAATACAAAACTGATGCTTCGTATTACAAAACCCAAACCAGAGTCTCCAACTGGTTTTTGATTAATGTCCTTTTTAATACATTCGCAAAAATCGACGTCTTTTGTAGTTACATAATCACGCAATTCAATCCTTATTCCACAAGCTGACGATTTCACGTCCGTCGGAAACGCGGTTTCCCCTTTTTGCTTCGCTACGACGTCTACATGTGTAGTTATTGGCGTTTGTATCGATTCGCGGTCTCGATCGCGGCCGGCGCTATCGTTCTGGGGTGGATGACGATGCGACGCGTGAATGGAAACAATAGCCGCTAGTTTCGCAGCTATTGTTTTCAGGAAGCCACCTTGCGCTGTGTACGTGATGGCAAACAGCGACCGCGGCTCGCTACCCCCACTTCGCCAGCTCGGACTAGCGCGTCGTCTGTCAGCTACATACAAGCACGTGGTCGCTGCGGCCACGCGGTCGTTCACCTCACTTTAGCGAAGAGAGGTTATGAGAGATATAATGCGCCGGCGCGAGAGCCAATGCCAACGTGGCGCGCGAAAGATCACGCTCAAATCTATGCCGCGACTTTAAACAGCCATTATTCCTTGATGAACTGACGTGGTAACATGAAACAAAAAACAATCTCTTCATCTATGTCACTCCTCCATTGTTCATTTAGAAAATTTGCGTGTCTTGTTAGATTAAAGCACAATGGAGCGAACAGCGCTGGTCACAGCGCGCCGTTCCTGACAACTAGCCCCACGCAGTGAGGCGGCCGGCGAACGGCGCGTTTAGGACTTCCGCGCACAAATTTCCGTAGACGTAAGACGTAAAATTAGACTGAAGAACCAATCAAGATATTGCTTTATCTTTGCGTACTCTAGAAGAAAATAGGACTGACGGTAAAACTGTTATGCAGAAATAACTAGAATTCAACCGGTTGAAATTATTCGATTTAAATTCTAGTTTCACCGTTATTCCTATCTTCTTCTAGATATGTTACTCTATTCTATTCTAGAGTGCACAAAAATAAAGCGATATTTTAAATTCTTTACGCGTTAGTAAAGAATTTAAATTTAAATTTACGTCTTACGTTTACGTCTTATGTTTAGGGTTATGGCACATAGAGAGAATTAAGCAGTAAGCAAATTGACCAATTACAATCGTTGGACCGTAAGAAAATTTTCTCCAATTTGCTTTTATTAATATTTTAATAAGTATTATAGCAGAGTTTATAAAATGGCAGACGATTTTTCTATTCGAGTTTTACTTGCGCTCAGACGCCTAAATTCAGACACTTTGTAAATTGCAAATGATTATCGAGCTATTGTGCAAACTCGATAACGTCTTTTTCGAGAAGACATCTCGCTTTCTTTTCTTCACTCAAAGTGACTTCGGCTCGTCACTTGGAAATATCAAATCTTTCCGATGACGAGATTACTGTCAGATATGTAATTTGTCTTACGGTGCCTCTTAAATTCGGCGCTTTTTGTGGGCACAAAAATGTCGTTTTCTCTCTCTCCCTTCTCCTTTCTGTTTCCCTTCTTGAGCGCATTGCTCTTCACAAAGACCAGAGCGCCGTTTAAAATGCAAACTCGATAAAACGCGATTGTCGTTCGCGCGCGGGGATTGCAATTTGTCGAATTTATACATATATACTCTAAAGAGGGGATGGCTAAATCTTATCGGCGTTGGCGAATAATCCCGAGGTCAATCTGCAGGCTCTCCGCGAAGTTTATTAAGGGCGATGGAGGCGATAGAGAGAAGGGGTCGAAGTTTCTCCCGCTCTCTGGGATCTTACTACGATGCATTCGGTTGCGGAGAGGCGCGAGCGTGCCTATATATCCGAAGTTCTTCCCCGAGAACACTCGAATTAGACCGGCACGTTGCAAACTCCACTGTGAGATACTCTTCACAATGAGACGGCTTTAGAGGGCCGTTGATCCTGCGCGGCTTAAAACGGGGAATATCCCTTTTGCGATGCCCTAATGCCGGGCGTTATCAAATTCGCGCATTCTAAAATCGCATATCCACGTAAAGCCTCCTCCGCGTGCGCGTCGCGAACGCATTTTTCTGACGGACATTCCTCCTCACGTTTGGATCGAGATGAGAAATCGCGAGAATCGTACACTCATCAGCAGAGCGAGATCTCGCAGATTGCAAATCTCAATCGGAATTGTCGTGAATTATTCTAGAATTCCTCTGGAACTCGTATCTTTTCTCTTTTTCTCTTTGTTTTCTTTTAGAACCTCTAGACGTTAATCCCAAAGTTGCAGTCCGATACAATTCGGTTTACCTGTCGCGCGCACCGCCTGACGTCAGTCCGGATGCACCGGAATAATTGCAGTTCGCGCGAATACCTCCGTCGAAACGATCGGCGGCGGGATAGGAGATCGATGGGGCGAGGAGATAGAATCGCGGAGAAGGGCGGCGGCGGCGGCGGGGGCGCGGGGATAAAAAGGTCGGATGGATTTTGCAGCGCGCAGTTTTCACCTTTGAGATTCCATCCGGCGTGCGGAGGGCTGGTGGCTGGGGATGAGAGTGGGTTGCATCCGCGCGTCGGCTGGAGCGCTCTAGCCTAGGAATTCAAGGACTCAGAGTATGAGTAGGGGTCCAGGAGGGCGCCGGTTGGGAGCGATGGCGCGGCTAACCCGGTTCGATATTCCGGCGAATATCGCGAAACGGTGGAGAGCGCGCTGGAGAAGCGAAGTGACGACGAGAACGAGAGAGTGAGAGAGGGGGAGAGAGAGCAACGCGAGCGTGAGAGTATGTAGAACGTGGGGGGGAGACAGAGAGAGAGAGAGAGAGAGAG